AGAGACTTAGTAAAAGGAATGTTTATTTGAATGTTGGTGTCTCTGTATATAGGGAAATTTTTCAAACCTTAAATGAAAATAGTCATTTGCCGTACAGATCTTCTGTGTTGTGGTATTTCTACCCTTCATATATTGTGTTACTTTGTATTCCTTTCACGTCTCCCACATCTCACCACAATACTGGTTCATCATTTTCTCTCTCTTTGACGTCAAATCTCACCATCTCTCGGCTATTTGATATTTGTATTCAGATGAATGTCTATTTATATACTACTGATAAATTTTGTCAGTAGTGCAGACCACCCTAGCTCTTTAGAGTTGTGCTAGTATACAGTTTCATTCAATAATCCTATACTGAAAGTAGGTTTGGTCACGAGCTGACATCGATTAGACCGCTTGGTTGGAAATCAATCGACGAGGCTATGAAAGTTACATTTATTGATACGATTAGGGTATGTGTTACGTATGCATCCCTAGCCATCCATCCATCGCCTGCCTCGACAACAAGGAATGTTAACAAACATAGGGTCAGGTTGAAAAAGAGAGAGCTAGTAGTGGTAGTCAAACCAAAACATGGACTCATCAATCAATGAAATCCATTACAGTTAGTTTAAGCCATCCAGCCACCTAGGAAGATGTAGACTTCCTGGTTGGGGTCGTCGGGACGGCAAGAATTAATGAATGCTGAAGACAATTGGTGATATGGCTCTAAATCCTCGTTGTCAATGGCTGGTGAAGATTCATCCACTGCTTGTGACTTAAATACCCAATAAAACCATAGTCTTCTTCAATATAAGTATCCTTTTTGCCTGATATCTCTGTTTACTGTCTCTATTTTGCATTTCTTTTTACTTTCTTCTCTTGCTTTGTGTGCTACATGGAGTGGAGTGTGACGAATCGAACTTCCGCACATCGGTGCAAAGTTCTATATTGAAACCAGTCAGTCAGTCAAACATACATCAATTAGAAAATCACTAGAAAACCAGAGAGTACTACTAAACGGCTGTTTCGTCCTAGTTTGTAACTCTTCAGATAGTTCCCGACCGAAAGCTGCTACCTTGACGTGGTGGTCGGGCTTGAACACCGCAATGACCTAATCAAGCTATACTGGCTGAGACTTATGTCTCTTGAGGTTCTACCATGCCAGGCAGGTTGTTTGGATAGCGGTTAAACAAAAAGCAGCTACCTCATCCAATACCATGATCCAAACAAATTCACAAAATTTCATGCCGGATCGGCCGTGGCCCGGATTAACAACGACCGCGCTTCCTGCTGCCGTGTCACAGGGCAGGAGTGATAAGTATGCTACTGAGGCACACCAAACAAAAAGAACGAACAAAAACAGGCCGCGTGTGACCGGCCTCAAGCAGTTGTCCCCTGGGCTCTGCGGTCACGCAACCAACTTCCACGGTGTGGGCAGCCGGGAAGTAACAATCGCCCTCACAATCCGAAATGCACACAAAACCTCTCTAATCCTCACTTATCTTTGTCTTCATCTTCATCTCTATTACCTTGCCTTCCTCCACTGATGCAACTCCTCTACTTGATGGCTCCTCACTCCCTCTTCACTCTGTGTCCACTAAAAACGACGAAAGCCAAAAAACCACCACGGATAGTCTCCTAAAGCCACGCCACCAATTTCATATAGGAGCATTTAATGTTAGGACACTTTGCCAAATAGGACAACAAGCATCACTAGCTAAGACCCTGGCATCTCGAGCCATTGATGTATGTTGTGTTTCAGAAACACGCATACAAGACCCAAGTGTGGTTATTCACCTAACCCCACCTGGCCAACAGGATGAATCTTCAAAATTCACCTTGAGGGTGTCAGGAGATGCCACAGCTAGTTCACGAGGATTAGCTGGCGTAGGGATAGCTTGAGTACTAGGGCAGAAAAGACATTGCTTGACTGGATCCCAGTAGATAGCCGAATGTGTGCTGTCCGTCTGAACGGATCAGTAAGAAGGAGAAAGGACTGCACTACTCGCCGATGCCTTTTCGTAATCTCCGCCTACGCCCCCACTGACTGCAGTTCGGATGAAACGAAGGATGAGTTCTACCAAAAGCTGTCTAGTTTGGTGAGAAAGGCTAAACGCTCAGATATAGTCGTTCTAGCTGGTGACTTTAACGCTCAAGTAGGGAAATTGTGTCAATCTGAGAAGGATGTCGGTGGCACCTATGGAGTTCCGTGCCAGCGAACCGACAACGGTGACCGTCTCCTACAGTTCTGTTCAGATAATCATTTGTTTCTTGTAAGCACTAACTTTAAACACAAGGAGAGACACTGTTTAACCTGGCGACCCCCATCATCAAACCAACGCTGGACACAAATAGACCACATAGCAATAAGCTATCGTTGGCGTGGGTCGGTAGGAGATTGTCGCTCCTTCTGGAACACGTGTGTAGATACCGACCACGCACTGGTCCGGGCTCGTGTGTGCTTACGACTGAACGGACGTAGGAAACAGCTGGCGGTAAAACCATCACGTCCCCAGCTCGATCAGGAAACTAAATCCCTATTTGAGGAAGAACTAGCTAAACGCATATCTGAATTCGACAGCTGTGCTCACCCTGGAGAAGCCTGGAAGAATATTCAGTCAGCTATAGATACAGCTGTAAAAGCTGTGAATAAGGCAAATCCAAAGGTGAGTAAAAACCACTGGATTTCGACTGCCTCATCCGAACTGATAGATGCTAGAAGACTTATTCCGGCGAGCTCCGAATTCAATGAGGAGCGAAAGCTGCACAAAAGGAAACTTACTAAAAGTCTCCGCAAGGACCGTGAACAGTGGTGGGTGACAAAGGCGAAAGAGATGGAAAAAGCATCGGCGATAGGCAACAGGCAACTCTTTAGACTCATCACAGAATCGGGTGGGAGAAGGCAATTCATAAGTGAGACTATTTCTGAGAAAAATGGCTCCTTAATTAGCTCTCAGGATAGACGCCTTGAACGCTGGAAAGAACACTTTGAGGAACAATTTAACTTGCCTACAGCCACACTGAACCTCCCCGCCATCCACCACGTACCCGAATGGGATATAGACACTGGTCCGCCGTCTGTAGGTGAGGTTACAAAAGCTATCAGTAATTTGAAACGAGGCAAAGCGGCAGGACCCGACGGAATTATTCCGGAGGTGTTTAAATATGGGGGTGACATACTAGTTTGTAGATTAACTGAGGTACTAGGCAAAGTCTGGGAATCAGAGACAGTACCATCAGACTGGGGTAAGTCACTTATTATACCGATATTCAAGAAGGGAAACAAGTCCTCGTGTGATAATCATAGGGGGATCAGCCTAACGAACATAGTCTCTAAAATCCTAGGCTCAGTAATCATGCATAGACTAAGCAGAACTCGGGAGGAACAGACAAGGGAAAATCAAGCAGGCTTTAGACCAGGTAGAGGGTGCATAGATCATATCTTCACTCTTCGACAGATTCTAGAACATAGACACACTTTTCGGCGTCCAACAATTGTCATATTTCTTGACTTGAAGGCGGCCTTCGACTCCGTGGATCGAAAGGTACTATGGCAATGTCTGACTGTGAAGGGAGTGCCAAGAAAGTACATTGCACTAATCAAGGCACTCTATTCAAACTCACGTAGTCGTGTAAGGGCTTATGGGGAATTGTCATCTGAATTGGTAACAACCAGTGGTGTCCGACAGGGATGTCCACTTTCCCCATTTCTGTTTAACTTCATCATAGATATGCTAATGGAAGTATCCTTAACTGAACGTAGTGACTTAGGAATCGACTTGTTACCAGGGAATAATCTAATGGACTTAGAATATGCAGATGACATAGTCCTGTTAGGGGAGGATGCTGACAAAATGCAGAGTCTTCTGAACACCTTGAGCAGCAATCTTCGTATGTTTGGCATGCGATTCGCCCCTGCAAAATGTAAGATGCTGCTACAGGACTGGACGACGTCAACCCCTAACTTAGTGATAGGGAGTGAAGTGATAGAACATGTTGACCACTTCACCTATTTGGGAAGTTGTATTAGCACCAACGGACTGATTGGCGATGAAATCTCAGCACGGATCCGAAAAGCTCGAGCTGCTTTCGCTGACTTACACCATCTCTGGCGTAGGCGTGACATCCGGTTATCAACCAAGGGACGTGTGTACTGCTCATCAGTTCGCTCCGTCCTTCTCTATGGCTCTGAAACATGGCCAATACGCGTTGAAGACATGAAAAGGTTGACTGCTTTCGATCATAGATGTCTGCGATCTCTGTCTCACGTTAGGTGGTTTCACAAGGTAAGTAATGTTGACGTTAGGCGTAGAGTGTTGGGCAAAGAGGGAAAATCAATCGACGAGGCTATAAAGTTACATAGACTAAGATGGCTAGGTCACGTGCTGCGCATGCCTAACCACCGCCTCCCCCGACGGGCATTACTAGCTGATATAGGTTCAGGTTGGAAAAGAGCCAGTGGTGGCCAAACAAAAACATGGCATCAATCCATGAAATCCTTGACAGTTAAACTGAGTCAGGTAGGGAGATGCAGACTCCCGGGTTGGGGCCCTCGGGACTCTAGGAATCAATGGCTGGAGACAATAGGTGACATGGCTCAAAATCGTTGTCAATGGCGCAGATGTATTCAGTCTCTGTAATCTTTCATATTCCTTTCTACCATTACCCATTCTGTTTCACTCTTATACTTGTCAAACTCTATTGATTCTCTTCACTCATCTTCTTGTCTACCTTGTGTGCTATTTGGAACGTGGCAACTCGAACTGGTGCACTTCGGTGCCAAGTTCTATGTTGAATGCAGACAGAGACAGATAGTTCACAACCATTAAAGGATCGAATTCACTACCCTTAGGTTACAAAAGTGGGGGGGGGTCGGTTTAGACTATTTAGTCATGTTGTATATTTTGTTTTAATCAAATAAGAATTATAAAGTAAGAAAACGAAATCAATAAAATTTATGTTTGGATGAATATTTATCACTGTATGTATATATGTATGTATTCCGATTTATTTTATAGATGTAACACCAGAAATTAAAGTTCGCAAACAGATTACACCTTCACTGACATATGATGTAGTAAAACCTAAGAGCAGTGGAAAATGTTTACAGAAAAGAAAAGAGAGGCAACAGTTATCGGTGTTTCTCAAGCATCACCGATATATTCCACAGAATCTCTATTGATGATAACAAATCCCAATGATGCTGTATCAATATCTACACCGATATATGAACATGAAATTGACAAGAACTCATGTGGTAGTAGAAGAAGAAGGTCTCTTGATGAATTGAATACTACTTTAATATTAGTAATAATAATAATAGTACTAATGGTAATACATCTTATACTGGTGGTGGTATATCTGGCTTTCTGGCTAAAGCAGTACGCTCTGTGTATTCACATCTTATGTCTTCAAGTTTAGCAGTATCACAAACATCAATACTATCACCACCGGAGGATAATTCTGCATTGATTGCCGGTAAACATCAACACATCAATACAGTGGATACATCGAAAGTGAACAGTATCAATGATACATCGCCATTAGAAGTAGAAAAAGGCAACGAAGAAGAGGAATTAGCAGTTAAAAATGCCGTGAATACAACACACAATCTGATAAAAGATGAAGGAGGTGTTGCTGTTGTTTTTGATGATGATGAGAATGACAAACATTCAGTTGAGATAAGAAAAGAACGTGAAAATCAATCTAGAAGTATAAAGTCATTCACTTCAACATCTTTGCCACATACACAATCTATGTCATACGAACAACAGCTACAGCAACACCAACAAAAATATGAAGATGTTGTATCGATAGAAGATGAAGTTTGGAAAACAGTGAGTTCAGTACATGATGATAATGGCGATGTCGATGTAGATGCCGATGCCGGTGGCAATGGCAATATTGATAATAGCGGTGATAACAAAAGTAGTCGTACCTATTCTATGGAAATATCAAATTATGAATCATCAGAAATCGATAACATTCTAGAAGGTGAAAATAAAGAAAATATGAAAGTTTCACAGGTAGGTAGATTGAATAATAATAATTATTATTATTACTATTATTATTCTTTTGAGTTCCAATTGGAATAAAGAGGGTTTTAGCGGCAGCAGCACACCCCCATTGCGTTCTTTATTTGAATTTTAAATTTTCCCGTCCATTGATTAATTGGACCAAAGTGCTTCTCTTTCTCAGGTTGACATGTATGTTGGGCTCCTTGTGTGCAGATGCCTCGACGATATCTTCTCATGTAAATTGAAGTCAGTTGGTTGATTGTGACTAACAGTGAAATCCAGGATGCGTATTTCGTCCTATTTGGGACTCGTCTGCCAACTGGATGTACCTGCATTCCCCAGTGAGTGAGTGAGTGATGATGTTCCCACCGAGACTCGAACACACAGTGCTCATCGTGGATTTCACTGCTAGTCACCATCAACTAATTAAATTCTATTACATTCTGTTCTGTACAGGCCTTTTTAGCTGGCTCCACGATTGCCCCGCAGCTCTCATACCCCCCACTACCACTATCAACACTACACGATCCACTCCAAACTCATCAGCACGCATTCTTGTCCATCTTTAGTATGTCCTGGCACTCGATGTCACTCGAAGGTCTTCGCAGCTTGCGCCCGATCCACCTCTTTCTCCTTCGTTGGTAGAGTTCCTTGTTTCTTTTCATATCTGGCCTGCCAGAGGAATCTTCAGTATGAAGCTGGCTAAGGCAGGGGCAGACAAAAGTCTGCAACCTGTTCAAAATGCTTGTGTCAATATCACTCTCGAACGCCCAACTCGTTGTTTCACATTCTGGTTTCACTCGAGGTTTTGGCGTGCGATGTCAGTTGACAGTCTCCTTAGCGGGGGGGGGATTAAGACAATTACATTGAGAGGACAGAAGGAAGGACAAAATCTTCGTTTTTCTAAGTATGTACCATAAAGCCTACCTTTTGAGGGGGAACATCTGGTCAAAATTATCAGTAGACAAAATAGCTCAGTTGTATTTGAGTTTATCGACGTAATCTGTATCGAACGCCAGAAACTTGATTTATGTGTTGAGAAATAAGTGGTTATTAGTCTTTACCTGCCCCGGTAACTGGATATGCCCTAACACTCTCATTCGATGATTAAGTAATCTTTGTCCCTGACTTTTTCCCTTCCGTTATGATGTAGGTTTGTTTGTCATTTAATTCTTTGATTTGACTTGATTTGAGCTCACATAGTTACTCATTATCTTCTCAATATCATGTCTTTACTACGTAACTCTAGTCGCTTTATTCAAGCACTTTTCCAACTCAATGGGTATTAACCTATGTAAGTGTCATTTCCTGATCATTGTTTATTAAGTTTGGAGTCTCCTGTCGTTAATTGACATCATGCAAGGTATGTTAAAACTGTTCAAGAAGAGAGGGTTGAAGTGGATAGTCGAAGTAGAATTCAGTCTTTTAATGGTGACTCGCAGTGGAATCCAGGATGCACATTCCGTCCTATTCGGGACTGGATGTACTTGCATTCTCCAGTAAGTTATGGTGTTCCAACCGAAGCTCGAACCCACTGCCCTTAGTTTAAACGTAAAGGCGTTATCCCCTAGACCACTTGGGTCACGAGAGCCACCTCTTGTGCAACAGGTCTTATCAATCAATTAATTCAATCTAGATTTTCCCGTAGATTGATGGGACCGAAGTGCTCCTCGTTCTCAGGTTGACATGTATGTCGGCTTCTTGTGTGCAGATGCTTCGAAGATGTCTGGTCATGTAACTTGAAGTCAGTTGGTTAATGGTGACTAACAGTGAAATCCAGGATGCGCATTCCGTCCTTTTTAGGACTTGTTAGCTGGATGTACCTGCATTCCCTAATAAGTTATGGTGTTCCCACCGAGGCTCGAACCCAATGCGCATCCTGGATTTCACTGCTAGTCACCATCAACCAATTAGACTTCAAGGCACATGAAGCATCTGAACACAAGGAGCCGAACATGTCAACTTGAGTTTGTTGTCGCCAAGTTATTGTTATGTACTGGTCGAGAATTTAATAGTCCTGACGCAAGAAAGACGGAAATCAGAAGACCACTAGGTTTGCGATGATACTTCTATTTTCCAAACACAAGGAGAATCAATGTCACACAAGAGTGTGAGAGCAAAAATATATATGAATGTCCGAACAAGTGTGTGAACAAATCAATAGACAGTCTTAACTTGATTGGGTAATTATAATGGAGTATCGATCCATATATACATAGCAAAATATAGCAGACATGTCAAAAAACGCACATATTATATGGATATATATCACCAAGGACAGACTGTCAACAAACATATATTATATATAATATAAGGGAGACAGGTTCATCAAAGTGAAATGGTCACAGACTAAGAGAGCAACAGAAAGAGAGACCGCCGTATATATATATATATATATATATATATATATATATATATATGGAGACATATCAGTTTGAGCACTTCGATCCAATCAATCGATGAGCAAATCGAAATAGAATTATAAGTACAATAATAAACAGAACTGGAAAAGAAAGTTTTATTATGTACGATTAATTTATATGATAACTTATTCTAACTTTTTGCAGGTTACTACTACTGCTGCTAAAGATATCAAAGATGTCAGTATGAAAAGTGAAGAGGAATCAGTTAAGGTGGTGACGCCAACACCAACATCAACAACGCCTGAATCTCGCCAGGCTCTAAAAGAAGTATCGGTGAATCATAAACTCGGTGATACATTTGATATGGGTGGTGACTACAATACTTTTGCTGCTAGTGCTAATAATAATAGTAGTAATGCATCATTCAGTGAATCACAGTATGAATACAAAGAGACCTCAATGATGAATAGTAGTCATACTAGTAACAATAATAATAATGACGATGTTGAATTAATGAAACAAAATTTACGTGAAGAAATTTCGAGGTTGAGAAGTGAAGCTGATATTTTGAAGTAAGTGTTTGTTTTGTTTCTTTTCTGTTCTACTCCTGAACACTTCGAGTAGTAATATTCGAATGTTCAGTATGCGATTCTCGTGCTCTCATCAAATGCCAGATGATGCCGCAGGACTGGACTACATTGACTCAGACTTAGCTTAAAGATAGGGAGGGAACCGAGTGGTTGATGGAGCATGTTCACCAATTCGCTTATTTGAGAAATTGTCTGAATCCCAGTGACTGATTATTGACCAACTCTCAGCAGGCATACAGAATGGCCTATGTGGAATTTGTCTGCTTACTTAAATCATCTTTGGAGTAGATGTGATATCCGATTGGCTATCGATCGATCAAACGGTTATGGTATGTGCCGCTCAGTAGTTTCGCTCTGTTCGTCTTTATATCTGTGAGATGTGGTTGTTGGAAGTAGAAGGTGGGGAAAGAATGGGTATCTTTGACCACAGATGTTTACGTTCTATAATGAGCAATGTTCAGTTTAGGTGCGCAGAGTATTAGGTTCGGACGGTAAGTCATTCCATGAGGTTATGAAACGACATTGACACGTGTTACGCATGCCTAGCCATCGTCTTTCTCCTCGGCCAAGTTTAACCGACATAGGATTAAGTTGGAAAAGAGTTAAAGATGATGATGAAGTCTTCGACTTTTGGCTTGAGACACACATGAAGGTTTAAACTGCCTGGCTAGGACCTCGAGATGCTTAAAATCAATGGCTAGAGACTGTTGGTGATATGAATTGAAATCGTCCTTAATGGCGCAAATGCATTCATTGTATCTCTGGTCTTCCATGTGTACTAAACCGTCATCTTCTTCCACATTCTTATCCTTCTCCCGTGTATTTCTGCTTAGGGGCTGTGTTTGTATGGAAGGCCTTATCACCGCATGATAAGTCATGATGCATTCAGACCATAACACGTCCGTTTTTGGTCATTACACAAGGCTTACTGGATGGATATGGGCGACTGCAAAGAGTGAATACATCTCTGCACAATTGAGAACGGTCATTTTGAGCTATATCACCAGCCATTGGTTCTTAGCATCCCATGAGGACTCCAACCACTAGACAGCCTACATCTGTCCTATGTGATTGGCTTAAACTTAGGAAGTCGAAGACAGTACAGTAATATTTACTGATGACCACATTTCGAGCACAATTTATTTCTGAGTAAATATTACTGTATAACACTGTGTGAAACTTTATCAAAATAAATTTTACCCACAATGGAATTTATACTGTGTTGATACTCCAACCTAAAACAAGAGAGCTATTTTTATCACATATGTGGGAGGAAAGTATTCTCTGTAACACTTTTCTACTGTTTTTATGCATTTCTTGTCTCATAAACAAATGTGTATTCCGAACACAAAAGTGCCCTGAATTTCACTGCAAATCAGATTTTTATTTTTAACCCTTAGTTATCACTCCATTATGCATAAGATTTTATTTTGATAAATCTCACAGTGTTATGCAGTGATATTAACTGATGACCACACGTTTCGAACACAATTTTTTATTGCCACTCATAATCAAATCAAGTCACTACTGACACAACTTTTTTACTTTTCGTTTTTCTTACATGACTTGCTTCATTCTGATGTAGCCACTTTTGTTAAGTATGCCGATGACCTCTCGGTTTCTATGCCTGTCAACTCTCAGTCAGATTGTTTCAAATTAAATAACTTTCTGTCGGAAATTAGTCAGTTGTCCTCTTCAAATGGTCTTAAGCTGAATCCGTCTAAATGTCAGGTAGTCAATTTCACTTTCAGACGTAAACATGACCTACAACAACTAGTTAGCTCACATGGCCCCACTATCATTGACGACATAGAGGTCGAAAATACATCCAATGTCAAGTACCTTGAACTAAGTATTTCCACCGATCTTTCCTGGTCCTCGTACATCTTGCTAGTTACTAGAAAGATGTTCCGCTTAACGTTCTAAATTAGGAAATCTAGGCAGTCTGGCATAAAGCAGTCTTTGCTTTCTCAGTTTGTAAATTCTTGTATTCTACCCATCCCTCTTTACTGCTCCCCATTAATCTTTCCTGGACTACTTAAGAAAGACTTTGCTTTGCTGAGAAGGGCAGGCACTAGAAGCCGTTAGTAGGGCAAGTGGGATATCGTTAAACCAATAAGAAAGAAACTTCACACACGATTGGCCAAAGTTCAAGTCACAGAAACAATCAGTTCCAACACAAGTAACCTAGAAGGTGAAAACATACATAAACAACCAATCACGTTCAAGGTCACCAGGAGGAATGATTAATAAACTCGTGGAGAAACCTAAAGCTCACTTCAATTTGAAGTATGCGCTGAAGATGTCACCCAGTAAGGTGATGAAAGCTTCGCAAACTAACTATCCAGCTCAGAGAACAAAACCACATCAAAATTATCCACCTGACTACAAATCTTCTCTATCATATCGTTAAACCAACTGGTTAACACTATTGTGGATAGACATATTATGTTATGTAAGAAACTAGCGAATACAATATTGTCAGACCTTGAGGATCCTCTCTATACGCAGCTGTCTCCTTGCATTTCATCTGGTAGAACTAGAAGCAGCTATAGGAAGGAGGCTATATGCTAGGACTACCAAGTACAAAACCTCCACAATACCATATCTGGCACAGCTGTTATGTGATGAGAAATCCGTTAGGTATGAAACGATCAACTTACTGCGGGACTCTAACAAATAGTCCCATTAGATTTTGTTTTCCTTTCCTCGTTACTATTACACTGTTGTTCTCATCTTCTATCACACATCAACTTTATATTTCATATCCTGTGTTGCATTGTTTGAAATGCAAACGCAACGCTGTTTCTTTTTATTTATTTATTTTATTTATCTTTGTTTTCTTGGGTGTTGCTTTTTGATTTTCAAATCTTATAAAATTTATGAGGTAATTAGGTGCAATATATTGTAATGCACGCTGAAAATTCCATACCTGTACCACAAATACTGTTTGGAATAAAGCTGTTCATTATTATTATTATACATGAGAGTAAAAATTGACGATTAGACATTTGAATAATATAAGATAATGTACATTCAGAAATAACAAAATGAGTGTTATTGGTCAAATACAATCAGATGGGAAATAGGATGAGTGTTTTTATAGTCATAAAAAGTTACTTGTTAGAATGTTGTGATGTGCTTGAATTGAAATAGAATTTTAAGATAAACTACATAGGTCAAACTAGTAGGTTGGGGGTAGTCAGATTGTCGGAACATAAGAATCTAGCTAAGGTTAGAATGATTGATCACACGAAGATAAGTAATTTAGAAAAAAATCCTCGATTGCACTGCACTCAGTCATTAACACAAAATGACACAATCGAGTCTCTGTCTGTCTGGATTCAACATAGAACTTGGTGCCGAATTGCAACAGTTCGAGTTGCCACGTTCCAAATACCACACAAAGGTAGACAAGAAGATGAGTGAAGAGAATTAATAGAGTTTGACAAGTATAACAGTGAAACTGAATGGGTAATGGTAGAAATGAATATGAAAGATTACAGAAACTGAATACATCTGAGCCCCATTGACAACGATTTTGAGCCATGTCACCTATTGTCTCCAGCCATTGATTCCTAGAGTCCCGAGGGCCCTAACCCGGAAGTCTGCATCTCCCTACCTGACTCAGTTCAACTGTCAAGAATATCATGGATTGATGGTATGTTTTTGTTTGGCCACCACTTACTCTTTTCCAACCTGAACCTATATCAGCTAGTAATGTCCGTCGGGGAGGGGATGGTTAGGCATCCGCAGCACGTGACCGACCTAGCCATCTCAATCTATATAACTTTATAGCCTGGTCGATTGATTTTCCCTGTTTGCCCAACACTCTACGCCTAACGTCATCATTACTTGCCTTATTATACCACAATCGAGTGAATGGAAGAGGGTTAAGATCCTAAGAAGTAATCTATGTGTGTTGAGAGAGAGAGATTGATTACTGAATCCTGGTTCATCCAGTCTACACACCCAATACATGCAACAGAAATGACCCAGTGCAAATACCAGAGATATGGAAGATATTATTACCACCAGTCCCCTGTTTACCTAGGACTCGACGCCCAACCTCAATATTGCTCACCTTGTTATTCCACTTCACACGGGATATAGAGCGCAGGCACCTACGACCTTCTACTTTCAGTGGCCATGTCTCACAGCCATTTGACAAAATGCAGAGTCTTCTAAACACCTTGAGCTGCAATCTACGAATGTTTGGCATGCGATTCGCTCGTGCTGTCAAATGTAAGATGATGTTACAGGATTGGACTACACCGACTCCTAGATTAGAAATAGGGAGTGAAGTGGTAGAGCACGTTAGCCGCTTCACTTATTTGGGAAGTACCATAAGCCAATGCCAGTGGGTTGATCTCTGACGAAATCTCAGTACGGATACAGAGGGCTAGTTTCGCATATGGCAGTTTACGCCGTCTCTGGCGTAGACGTGATGTCCGGCTGACTGTCGACCAGAGGGCGGTCGTACTGCTCAGCAATCCGCTCCGTCCTCCTTTATGGCTGTGAGTGAGACCTGGCCATTGAGAGTGGGAGACATGAAACACCTGACTGGCTGTATTTGATCATAGGTGCCTGCATTCTATCTCCCGTGTGAAGTGGTATAATAAGGTGAGCAATGTAGAGGTTAGGCATCGAGTTCTAGGTAAACAGGGGAAATCAATCGACGAAGTCGTGAAGTTACAAAGACTGAGATGGTTAGGACATGTGTTACGAATGCATTCCTAGCCATGCATCGCCTCCCTCGACGAGCAATGTTAGCGGATATAGAGTCAGGCTGGAAAAAAGCTAGCGGCGGTCAAACAAAAACATGGCTTCACCAGTCAATGAAATCCACAACAGTTGCTCTAAGCCACGTAGGAAGGTGTAGACTTCCAGGCTGGGGTCCTCGGGACGGTAAAAATCTATGGTTGGAAACAATTGGTGACATGGTGATATGTATCCACATATATATATTTATGTGTGTGTGTGCATGTTGGTCTCTCTTTCTGTTTGCTCGGTTAGTCTGTGACCACTTCACTTGTATGAACTTGTCTCCTTTAATAATGTGTATTCTCCTTATATTATATTATATATAATATGAGTGTTTGTTGACAGTCCGTTGCTTGGTGACATATATCGATATATGTTTGTTGGCATGTCTGCTATATTCGCTATGTATAATTGGATCGACACTCCATTATAATTAGCCATTCATGTTAAGACTGTCTAATGATTTTTCCCACGCTTTGTCTGAATTATTTATATATATTCGCATTCACAATTTGTGTGAACTACTTTACAACTACTTGACTTGCTTACCACTTTGGTGTGAGACCATTTTATTTTCGTCTCCTTGTGTTTGGACAATAGAAGTATCATCGCAAACCTAGTGGTCTTCTGATTTCCGCCTTCTCGCGTCAGGACTATTAGTTTCTCGATCAGTCCATAATAATAATTTAGCGACGAGTACATAACAATTTGGCGACGGGGAAAACTAGAACATAACAATTTGGCGACGGGGAGACTAGTACATAACACATGGCTCAAAATCGTTCTCAGTGACGGCGCAGATGCATCCACTCCCTGTGACTTATGATCTCCAATGAAACTGTTTTGTTCTTCGTTATTACTTTTTTGTCTCACATCTCTGCTCACTGTTTCTGTTATGCTTTTCTTCTACTTTCTTCTCTTGCTTCGCGTGCTACACGGAGTGTGGCGACTTGAACTTCCGCACATTTGTGCAAAGTTCTATTTCGAAAACAGACAGACAGACAGACCACCAGTCAGTCAAATCACAGGAGGATAATAAATAATCTCCAAATTCTATTTTAGTTCACATACATTCTAACAAGTTATTTATTTATTTTACTATAAAAACACTCATCTTATTTCCCATCTGATTCTATTTAATCAATAACACTCATATTATTATTTCTGAATGTACATTATCTTATATTATTCAAATGTCTAATCGTCAATTTTTACTCTCATGTATATAAATGAAGCAAGAAAGTTGTCTGAGTAGTGACTTGATATGATTATGAGTGGCAATAATAATTTGTGCTTGAAACGTGATCATCAGTAAATATTGCTGTATAACAGCACTGTGTGATTTATCAAAATAAAATCTCATCCACAATGGAGTTATACTCTACCACCACCACCACAGTAATAATAATAATAATAATTTTTCCCTCACGTTCCCCAGTGGAACATAGGGCTAGTGGCTTGAAGTTTCGGTAGCAGTGTTTATTTTACAGGATGAGGTTGGTAGCCTCATGCTCAACCTTTTCTCTTTACCAGGATTATTTCTGGCTTAGCGAAGTAAAGGAGTGCGCCGTCTGGGATCATCGATCCCCGGACCATGTGCATGGTCGGCGAGCGTCTTAACCGCTGTGCCACCGACGCACCACCACAGTGCCTAAGTTTTATACTTTTATACCTTAGTGATCATTAATTATTTGAAATTGAGTGAAATAAATATGTTTGCTGATTGGTTGTTACTGGTGTCGAAAGTTTAACTTAGCCCCTTTTTCAGTAAAAATTAGTTTTTTCACCTCACCTTATTCTTTCAGTCATTATAAATAAAGATAATTCTCTCTCTCTTTCTCTCTTGGTTTGCTTCTCTTTCTTCTTTGTAGATCTGTAATGGATGAGTATGAGGCAATTGTGATAAAATCTGAAGAAAAATTATTTGAAAGACAAATTGAAGATGCAACAAAATTGATACGAATTAAAATGGATGAAAATGAAACCTGTGATCAAGCTGAACGTCTGCTTTCAGTGCATAATGATCTGAAAACACGTGTTGAACGTGCACAAGATGCTCTTAAATTTTCCGATAAGGTTAGTCAGTTAGTTAGTTAGTTACTAGGGATCTGAATGATTGGTTTTTGAGAACTTCATGATGAATTGACATCAATTAGAGGACCATTGGGGGGACGGGACGGGTGGGGAGAGTACTGGATAGCCAGCTGTTTCGTCCTAGTTGGATAATCATCATCGGCAGTACGCACCCACCACAGTGACAGGGTTCGAACCCAGAACCTTTTTGTTTTTAAGGCGAGTGTATTCGTAGACCAAATTCATGATATAGCCTTGACCACTAACCGAATGTTATCCTTGGCGAGTATTTGTTCTCATCACACCTGACCTGCTCTACTCCAATGGTCACGATTTCCCTCTCACTGGAACTCATGTAAAACTACTTAGGTAGGTAGTACTCGCAGAATTTTCAATTGTCCTTTTATCGATGTCAGTTCATGATAAATTCCTGATAGTGAGTTTGTGTTTCCGTCTATCTATCATATGGATGTGTGACTCTGCTTCCTTTATAAGTTCTAACTATCATTCATAGCAAAAAAAAAGACTTTAGTAAATCTAATATTTCAGTTTTATTTTATATTTATCAATCTTTGTTGATGTAAATGGATTGAATTAATCAGTCCCATATTTAGGGAAACGATCTCCTTGAATGGATGTCTCGAAGTTACTTATTCACAGGTAACTAACATTAAAGGTGACTCTCGTAGCCCAGTGACTTTGGGGGGGGGGGGATAACACTTCAGCGTTTAGATGGATGGATACTGAGTTTGAATCTCTCTGGAAGCACCAGAACTCTCTCTGGTCAGGGTGATGAGTCTCAAGCAGCACGATGTGCACCTCCCACATTTTACTGCTAGCCACCATCAAATTAGTAACTGTAATAGTCCTTTCAGGTTTAACCACGAAATAGCTGACTTCACTTAGGGAGCCCTTAAAAACCACCAGGGAGTACTAAACGGCTGTTTTCATTCTTGTATACGATTATTCATAAGTACACATCAATAACCGAAGCAGAGGCTGAACCATGAACTTTCAAGTTACAAGATGAGGTCGTTGATCTTGAAGTCAACCACTGGAATGGAACCCACTGGTCTATCGTTTCATAGCTTCTACCAGTTGGCGCGATATCCTATAGAGTGACCGTCAACTAATATCGTCATTGTGAGTATCTGTCCTCACTTACATACAACTTTAGGTGGACCTCACACTTCTGAACATTAGATTTATTTTCTATCTGTTGGTTGGTTGGTTGGCTATTAGATGAAACAGCTACCCAGTACAGCACTGTACAGTACTCCCTGTTGGTTTTGCAGTACTTCTCTAATCGATATCAGTCCGTTTCGTAGTCGATCTCGAAATTAATAACAGTTTCTTTTGTTTGTTTGTTTTCTTCTCATTATTGCCTTTTCACAACCATGCTGGCTGGATAGCGTTCTTGAATCCTCTTGGACAGGATGCACGTCGAACGACCGATGTATCTGGCTGGCTCCACAGCAGCAGTTGAACTGATATATGCACATAGAAGTAGTCAGATGCGGGATCTTGTCCTTGAGGCTTCTGCAGATCGATCAGTTGGCGACTGAAGAACACTATTCTTAGCGTTTCTGCAAAGAATGTCCTCCTCAGGGATGACGTGATCCTTCTCTTGAGAATATCGCTTGTTAAATCTCCCTTGAAATCTAAGTTCATGTAGAGTTTCTTTTTTGGGCCCAATTAAAGTTTCGTTTCTCCAAATTATTGTTTTCATATTTTTGTCGATGAATCTTCTTGTTGTTTTTTTTTGTCATCTACTTTTAGAAAGAAGGATTACTTAAAAAAACTCTTCGTCGATATAATACAAGTCATTCAGCTAAACAAACAAAAATCGATAATTTTATGACTGCCTATTCAAAACAATTAAATGATACACTAATTGAACATGATCATCAAAAGGCTAATTATCAAAGGAAATTGGATAAATTACGGTGTGAATGTCGTCTAACAGAAATGCGTATTCTATCGCTTACTCAAGAAGTTAAACAAAAGGTGTATTCAAGCTTTTAAATAACATGATAGTTTGTGTGTGTGTGTGTGCGTCTGTTTGTTTGTTCTATCCTTTCTCCTGTGTAGAGGAGGCCGGGGGGGGGGGGGGAATTATTGCCCAATCTATATCGGGTTACATTTCAGCAAGTCCACCTGATACTTCAAAAGAGACATATTCATATATGTGTAAAACTTTGGCACTGTGGTAGTATGTAATTCCATATTAGTTTGTTTATTAGATATATCACACACACAGTAAGTGAAACAGTATTATTATTTACTGGATGACATTGTTTCGAACAAAATTTATTGTGGCTCATAATCACATCATCAATTATAATCATACGACTTCGAAACTTGAGTCTTGTAGTTTGCTTCATTCCTACACCTGTTCGTCATAGGGGTAGTCGAATTTTCCAGATATATGAGTGGACAGGTGTTGAATCATTCCTATTGCAGACACGTACTTGAAGTTGATTCGATAGATAAAGCTTTCGCTGTCATCAGTCTCTCCCTCCATCCTGTGACATTACATTTTAAAACTGTCATCTTATCCCATCCCATTGTATGGTTGTGTGTAATTGCATGTGGTGTAGTGCTATAGCTGAACTATTCTCCAGATTTCTTATCTTATTCGAGTTTGGGTTTCCTGTAGACACACTAGTGTGTTTAACTTCCAGTCTTTTTTCCTTTTAACGCTACAATCTAACATTGGAAGCTCACCCGCTTCCCAACTTTCCGATTCATAAGTGAATTGAATTGCCTCCACCTTTGAGTTAACGTGTTCGAAAAATCTATCTATATCTTGTGTTCTAAGTGTAGTGAATGTTTGGGTTGGAGCTGAACGTGTCAATCGCTATGTTTTCCCACCTACCTATCCATGAATATATCTGTCACAACCGGGGATTTTGGCGACCCCATGGCAACTACCTCAGTTTGTTTGTATAATTTCCCTTGGAATTTAAATACTGTGTTAGTTAGGCACAGTAGCACTCCCAGCATAATCTCCTCCAGTGGCACTTTCGTTCTTAGTTGAAGTTCTTGGTCAGAAATCAGTTCGTTTTTGACTGCCTGCCTCAATAGCCATATTTATTGATATACGTGTATATAAACTGCCAGTGCAAATATATCTAAAAAGAAATTAATAGGGAATTACTTACTACCTAAGTGTCCAAGTTTTACACATTAATTGATATTTTTCTCTCTCATTATATTTGCATAACTAACGAATGAATTCTCAAGAGAGTGGAATGGAGTTGAATTTCCTATGCATTTGTGAGACTGCCTTGTTGTTTTACCAGTCTGATATATTTTGCTATATTTCTATTGATCGTTGTTAGTCAATTATGACCCATAGTCTGTCTATGCCTGTCAATCAACTAAATCATGTCACATGATATTGCAGCCAATCAGAATTCAGTTAGTTGACAGTATGAATTGTTTTATTCCAACAGTGGTGTGAACACGGACAGTAATTTTGCTCGAAATATTACCAATAACAAAACTTATCATTGTGTGTAAACTATTGAAATATAATTATATACTTTATTTGATCTAATCCACAATGCTCAAACTTTTTACTGATATGAAAAGCAACAAGTTGGCGACAATAGAAGCATCAAAGATAGACCTTCAGGTAAACATAGAGAAAACAGAGGTGATTAAGATTCCTGACCAACATCAACAGCAACAACAATCAGCATGAATGCGAGGAAACTGAAAGAAGCAATCTCCTTTACCTACTGATATGGAAAGCATCGTTTCAACTACACGGGGATGGAACTGATGAGGATATCAAACCAGAATTGGAAAAGCCAAGACAGGCTTTCATTACTCTCAAGTATGTGTGGGGATCAACATCACTCAGAACCAAAAATAACATCCGGATTTTCAACTCCAATGTGAAGTCAGTGCTACTCACCATACAGATCAGAGACTTGGCGCGTCATAAAGAGGATCTCAAACAAACTTCAGATCTTCTTTAACAGCTGTCTTGGCTCAATAACAAAATCAGATGGCCGACCAGAAAGAGGAGCAACAGGTATCTCTGGCAATGAGCGAACCAACACAGCAGGAACCGATTGTGAAACAAATAGGCAGGAAGAAATAGAGATGGATTGAACATAACTCTGAGAAAATAAACCATCAAGTGACATCACTAGACAAGCCATCGCTTGAGTGGAATCCGAAAGGGAAGCGGCGAGTTGGTCGTCAGTGCAAGGGTGAGGGTGACTTGGAGGAGGTGATGTGAAGAGGAGATCAAAGCGTGTCGGCAGACTTGGCACGGGGTGAAAACGTTGTCAGAAAACCGAACCCAATGAAGACGTTTGGCTGAAGTCCTGTTTTCCTCTAGGAATTAAAGGAAATAATAATAAATTATATATATATATATATATATATATATATATATATATATATATATATAGTCGGTCACTCCATAACCATTTGTCACTTCATTTTTCTTGTGTAAGCTGAGCTGGACATTGCCACGATGCTCCAATCAGAGGAAATTCAACAATAGCATCCCAAAGGGTGCGAACGCCCGAGTGGTCTTCAGACGACCAATCATGAAAATTAGTGACTTTTGCACAAAAAATAACGTATAATTTACAAAACAAAAGTGTATGCCAAAAACACATAAAACAGGGAATCTTTCTCTAACATGACTTAAAAATACGTCCCAGTGTTTTAAATGAGGTGTATCAGTTGCTAAGTTAGACTAATTTCTCTACATGTGTATTCACCGAGGTGACCAAAGATGATCTGCTTTTGTGAATTGTTTATCTCTTTTATCTCATATGCAGTCTTCCCCAAAGCTTTCGGTTGAAGTACTATGGTTTGCAGTAAGAGGGTCGACAACTACTTACTAGGAAAGTGTGGTTAATAAAACAAATTAAAATAAATGACATCAACTCTAAATCCATCCCTAGTCTTAATCCTGACCCTAACCCTAGACTTAACACTAACCCTAATTGCAACTCTTATCCTAACAGTAAACCTAACCCATTATGCTAATTATGACCCTGATCCTAACCCTAACGAGCTATTTACACATTGTCGAAACAGTAGTTAGAAACGTGATCTTGGTGAAATTTGCTGCTTAGCTGGTGAATATAGCCTGGATATTTCATCTATGATAATGACAGGTGCCATTAGCCAACGACTAGCATACGTTCAAGGTCACTGGAGCGTTCGCACCAATCTGGTACGCTATTGTTGAAATTTACCAGCTTTTTTCATTTCAAGTGTGATCCAGCAGACCAGTGTCACTGGCAGACTGTGTTTTCATACAGTTAACAATCATGCTCATATAGCATTCATTTTTCCCGCATCCTATTGTCATGTATACCCTATAGGTTTGTTTGGAGTGAGGATTTTTATAACTCGTCTATTTAGTAGACTCTCCAATATTCACTAGTCGATACATGAGTGGTGAACATCCATCCACATTCGTCCTCTCACTCATTGCGTAAAGACAGTGAGTAGGTAGAATTTAAGTGACAGAAGTTAAAAAAAATGTGTGGCCACATTATGCCATTTTCAATGAGAACTCTGAAGTCTATCCATTCTCGGACGTACTAAGTCATTTATACTAAAGTGTGGCATGAGGGGGGGGGAGGAGTAAACTATCTTTTGTAAAGTGTTTTAGCACTATTCTTTTATATAGTGTGTACACCGATTACAGATTAAAAGACTGATCAATGAACTAGGAAATATTCTTTTCGATAGTTTCTTCTTCATTAAGTTCTACAGTTATTTGTCCATAATGTTATTAATAACCATCAGTGTTTTTGAGGATTTCATCATGAGCTGACTTCGGTTAGAAGACCATTGGAAAACTTGAGAGTATTGAACAACCAGTTATTTTGAAACTTTAGTGGGCGCGTATTGCTGAGGAGTCCCAGATTAGGGCGAGACATCTGGCTCTGCAATCCTCCCAGCTGGTTTTCCAATGGTCTTCTAACTGATGTCAGTCCACAGTGAAATCCTGAAACTAATCAAATCTCAGCAAACTAACACTTGAGCATTAGTGTTTATTTAAAATAACGTCGGATCATCAAGGTCAATAGATGATAGTTGAAAAGCATCTGTAAGTGACAAGATGCATGAATCAGCAAAAAATAACACATTATTGGTGAATTTATGGATTCCATATAAGACGAGGTTGGCAATTTTGGCGGTATTATTATAATTACCCCTTGGGTTACGAGTGGAATTTAAGGCTTGCTTCAACAACACATCTCCACTTTGTTCCTATTTTCTGCTTTCCTCTTCAGCTGCACTCAAGACTGCCCGTAATCTTTGATCTCCTCTGTGTGACGAATCATTCGTCGCTCCCCGATGAGATTCCATTGTGCGCGACGTCATTCGACGGTTTCCGCAACATTTGCCCGATCGATTCATCTCCTTTTTCTTCTACATACTTGTCGGGCGATCGGCTGTTTGTTGATTTTTTCGCGAGCCAGAGTTTCTTGTTGCTGAATCTCTCTGGCTTGTTTGCCGGCTAGGCATTTGGTCTTCACAGTATGGAGCCAGCCAACTAGCGAAGGTGGCAGTTGTTGTTGGTAGAAGTGTGTAACTCGCTGGAAATCCTTTTCATGACTTGTACGCAGTGCAAGTTTCTCATCCGTTTCTTTTGTACACACACACACAGAGAGAGAATTAATATGGCAAGTAATTAACTTGATATCTGTTACACAAAAGAGATGGCTGTCGTTGTGTTAAGTGGTCGTCCAGTGAATAGAACTTCGGAATTTGACAGACGACAAACAGGTACTGGATTTTATTGTCTCAACGAGAGGAGCATCACCCACTCCCTGGGGATTTTAAGTACATCCAGATGAAGAGTCCAAATAGAACGAAATCCACATCGTGGACTCTACTGCTTTTCTTAAATGAATAAAATAGTTAATGTTTATACATGGATCTAAGATCTGAAGCATAGTCATCATTATAGAGTTACCTAGAGCTATGAGCTATGCTTATTGTATGATGGTTGGATGTGATAGTACCCGAATGCCGGGGATTTCGGACTTCAACCCCAACTTTATCGACAGTCGAGTCACATCTCCAGGATGATATGCCTTCTAAGTAGTTAATGAAAACAATACGCGTAGATCAGTGAAGAGACTCTTTTCGGCGAATTCATTTTCTTAGCTGTACAATCGCAAATATATGTATATGTGTTATTTTGTATGTATGTGTACATTAAGTTTGTCAAACAAAATTACAATTGGTTAAGGTTATTTTAACTAAACAAGTGAAGGTTGGTAATACAAGTCAAGAAAATTAGGTGTTAATGAAATTAGGGTAGTAACAAAGGTGATGAGTTGTCACAAACAGTTGTTAAAAAAGAAGTTATGTAATAATATGAATAATTTTGATGATTGAGTTTTACTCAGGATACACATAATAATAATAATTATAATTATATTCATTTTTATATATATTCACGTGTGGACAATTTCAAAGATATTGATTTGTCTTTGAGAGATGTCTTACTTACCCTTTCATGTTTTTCTCTCTCTCTCTCTCTTCTTGATTATAATAACCAATAGGATCTGCATAATGATGAATTGAAGTTGATCAGAGATCGAATCCTCTCATCACCAGTTAATTAGTTAGAAAAAGAACAAAGATACCCAGAAATTATCATCAACAATGGATGAAATTTTGAAGAGAGACAATTTTTTATTCCTACCTCTCAGCGTTTTATGTTGTTGTTTTTAAAAAATAAATACACTACACTACACATTACACTGTTGCATTTAATTGTGTGCCTTATTTTATATTACTATTATTATTATTACTGTTGTTATTATTTTGTGTGAGTATGACAGACCTGATCTTTGAAAGAATGATGGATACTTATAGTTATCTTGATTGTTATTGCATTTCTGTGTCACTGATAAAAATTAATAAGAATTTGTCTATTTTCCTAAAAGGCATTTCCTGTTTTGTTTTGTTTTTTTTACTCATACAACTACCCAGATACACAGCGATTCACTCCGCAAGACTGAGTGCAGGTAGGTACAGGCTCTTGCCAATCTTGTGACAGTACTTTGCACTTTATTACTATTGCTCCCTTGGGTTCCTATTGGAACATAGGGCTTCAACTCCACGTCTCCATTTGCCTCTGCTGTAATTTTCACCTGCATCCATCCATGTTAGTTCATACTCCTTCAACTCCTCTTCACACGATCTCCTCCATGTTACCCTTGCACTGACGTCCCACTCGCCGCTTCTGTTTCGGCCTGGTTCCACTCGAGAAATGGCCTGGCGGGCGCGATGTCACCCAGCGGTCTCCTCAGCGAGTGTCCGATCCATCTTCACTTTCTCCTGCATATTTGTTGGGCGATTGGTTCTTGCTTTGTTTGTTCGCATAGTTTCTTCTTGGTGATTCTTTCTCGCCCGGCCATCTGATCTTCAGTATAGATCCAGCGAAGACAGTTGTTGATAAAGGTCTGCAACAGGCTGTTGGAAATATTCTTTGTGACCCGTCCGCCAAGTGTCTGATTCGTATAGAAGAGCTAACTGACTTGAAGTTTGTATTGAAAATCCTACTGAATTTTGTTGTTGATGCTGAGTGACGAATATTTCCAGATTGATTTCAGTCAGGATGATGAATGTGTTTCTCGCCTTCCCGATTTTCGCTCGATTTGACATCCTCGTCCTCTCCTCCTGTAGTTGAGACAATGCTCCCTAGAAAATGAATGAAGTAAACTCTTTCAAATCCCTGCCGTTGATGGTGATTCGCGCTGGATGTTGCTCCTGCTGCTGTTGTTGTTGGTTGGTTATTTTCATAACCTCCGTCTTGTCTATGTTTATCTGGAGTCCTGTCTTTGCTGCTTCTTCGACCAGTTTGTCAGTTTTCGCATGTAAGTCTTCCATTTTGTGTGACATCAAACATAAATCATCCGCGCGAGACATCCAGGTCTTCTAGGTTCTTCGCATCTTTCCAGGATATTCCTGTCTTCTCGTTTCCCACTGTCTGACGCATAATCCAGTCAGTTCACCACAATTAGGAATATCATTGGTGATAGTAAGCACCCTTGTCTGACTCCTGTGTTTACTCCAAACGCCTCGCTGAGTTATCCGTTATGGATCACTTTTACTTTGCACTTAGACGGCGCAAAGTACACATATCATACTTACAGACACTGATCGCTAACTGATTAAGTACGATTTGGGCAGCCTGCATGCTATCGCACAGTAAGATTATATTGTCTGCATAGTCGAGGTCGAGGAGTCTATCTCCAGGTAGCAAATCTACACCACCTGGACGCACATCCTTCAGACCTGACTCCAGAATGTCATCGATGGCAAAGTTAAGAGAAATGGAGAGATTGGGTAAACCTGTCTAACCCCACTGTTGATGACCCGACCTAAAGCTGCTACGTTGACGTGGTGGTCGGGCTTGAACATCGCAATGATCTATTCAAGCTATACTGGCTGAGACTGATGTCTCTTGAGGTTCTACCATGCCAGGAAGGTTGTTTGGATGGCTGTTAAACAAGAAGCAGCCACCCCATCCAATACCACGATTGAAACAAATTCACAAAATTTCATGCCGGATCGGCCGTGGCCCGGATTAACAACGACCGCGCTTCCTGCTGCCGTGTCACAGGGCAGGAGTGATAAGTATGCTACTGAGGCACACCAAAAAAAAAGAACGAACAAAAACAGGCCGCGTGTGACCGGCCTCAAGCAGTTGTCCCCTGGGCTCTGCGGTCACGCAACCAACTTCCACGGTGTGGGCAGCCGGGAAGTAACAATCGCCCTCACAATCCGAAACGCACACAAAACCTCTCTATTACTCACTCATCTTTGTCTTCATCTTCATCTCTATCATCTTGCCTTCCTTCCACTGATGCAACTCCTCTACTTGATGGCTCTCCACTCCTCTCCACTCTGTGTCCACTAAAAACGACGGAAGCCAAAAAACCACCACCGATAGTCTCCTAAAGCCACGCCACCAATTTCATATAGGAGCATTTAATGTTAGGACACTTTGCCAAATAGGACAACAAGCATCACTAGCTAAGACCCTGGCATCCGAGCCATTGATGTATGTTGTGTTTCAGAAACACGCATACAAGACCCAAGTGTGGTTATTCACCTAACCCCACCTGGCCAACAGGATGAATCTTCAAAATTCACCTTGAGGGTGTCAGGAGATGCCACAGCTAGTTCACGAGGATTAGCTGGCGTAGGGATAGCTTGAGTACTAGGGCAGAAAAGACATTGCTTGACTGGATCCCGGTAGATAGCCGAATGTGTGCTGTCCGTCTGAACGGATCAGTAAGAAGGAGAAAGGACTGCACTACTCGCCGATGCCTTTTCGTAATCTCCGCCTACGCCCCCACTGACTGCAGTTCGGATGAAACGAAGGATGAGTTCTACCAAAAGCTGTCTAGTTTGGTGAGAAAGGCTAAACGCTCAGATATAGTCGTTCTAGCTGGTGACTTTAACGCTCAAGTAGGGAAATTGTGTCAATCTGAGAAGGATGTCGGTGGCACCTATGGAGTTCCGTGCCAGCGAACCGACAACGGTGACCGTCTCCTACAGTTCTGTTCAGATAATCATTTGTTTCTTGTAAGCACTAACTTTAAACACAAGGAGAGACACTGTTTAACCTGGCGACCCCCATCATCAAACCAACGCTGGACACAAATAGACCACATAGCAATAAGCTATCGTTGGCGTGGGTCGGTAGGAGATTGTCGCTCCTTCTGGAACACGTGTGTAGATACCGACCATGCACTGGTCCGGGCTCGTGTGTGCTTACGACTGAACGGACGTAGGAAACAGCTGGCGGTAAAACCATCACGTCCCCAGCTCGATCAGGAAACTAAATCCCTATTTGAGGAAGAACTAGCTAAACACATATCTGTGTTCGACAGCTGTGCTCACCCTGGAGAAGCCTGGAAGAATATTCAGTCAGCTATAGATACAGCTGTAAAAGCTGTGAATAAGGCAAATCCAAAGGTGAGTAAAAACCACTGGATTTCGACTGCCTCATCCGAACTGATAGATGCTAGAAGACTTATTCCGGCGAGCTCCGAATTCAATGAGGAGCGAAAGCTGCACAAAAGGAAACTTACTAAAAGTCTCCGCAAGGACCGTGAACAGTGGTGGGTGACAAAGGCAAAAGAGATGGAAAAAGCATCGGCGATAGGCAACTCTTTAGACTCATCACAGAATCGGGTGGGAGAAGGCAATTCATAAGTGAGACTATTTCTGAGAAAAATGGCTCCTTAATTAGCTCTCAGGATAGACGCCTTGAACGCTGGAAAGAACACTTTGAGGAACAATTTAACTTGCCTACAGCCACACTGAACCTCCCCGCCATCCACCACGTACCCGAATGGGATATAGACACTGGTCCGCCGTCTGTAGTGAGGTCACAAAAGCTATCAGTAATTTGAAACGAGGCAAAGCGGCAGGACCCGACGGAATTATTCCGGAGGTGTTTAAATATGGGGGTGACATACTAGTTTGTAGATTAACTGAGGTACTAGGCAAAGTCTGGGAATCAGAGACAGTGCCATCAGACTGGGGTAAGTCACTTATTATACCGATATTCAAGAAGGGAAACAAGTCCTCGTGTGATAATCATAGGGGGATCAGCCTAACGAACATAGTCTCTAAAATCCTAGGCTCAGTAATCATGCATAGACTAAGCAGAACTCGGGAGGAACAGACAAGGGAAAATCAAGCAGGCTTTAGACCAGGTAGAGGTTGCATAGATCATATTTTTTTTTTGATTTACAGCTTGATTCCACACTGTATTTTTGGTAGAATTATGGAATTTCCAGCATGGATATCGGTAGCCCAAATTTTGCAGGCCGACCATAGATATCAGGTGTGCGCCGGCGTGGGCTGGAACCCCGGACCATATGCATGGTTGGCGACAGTCCTAACCACTGTGCCACCGACGCACACTCTTTGACAGATTCTAGAACGTAGACACACTTTTCGGCGTCCAACAATAGCCATGTTTCTTGACTTGAAGGCGGCCTTTGACTCCGTGGATCGAAAGGTACTATGGCAATATCTGACTGTGAAGGGAGTGACAAGAAAGTACATTGCACTAATCAAGGCACTCTATTCAAACTCATGTAGCCGTGTAAGGGCTCATGGGGAATTGTCATCTGAATTGGTAACAACCAGTGGTGTCCGACAGGGATGTCCACTTTCCCCATTTCTGTTTAACTTCATCATAGATATGCTGATGGAAGTATCCTTAACTGAACGTAGTGACTTAGGAATCGACCTGTTACCAGGGAATAGTCTTATGGACTTAGAATATGCAGATGACATAGTCCTGTTAGGGGAGGATGGTGACAAAATGCAGAGTCTTCTGAACACCTTGAGCAGCAATCTTCGTATGTTTGGCATGCGATTTGCCTGCTCCTGTAAAATGTAAGATGCTGCTACAGGACTGGACCACGTCAATCCCTAACTTAGTGATAGGTAGTGAAGTGATAGAACATGTTGACCACTTCACCTATTTGGGAAGTTGTATCAGCCAGCACCAACGGACTGATTGGCGATGAAATCTCAGCACGGATCCGAAAAGCTCGAGCTGCTTTCGCTGACTTACACCATCTCTGGCGTA